AAAAAAAAAAAAAAGGCCGGTTGTTGTGGTGGGTGCCCATAGTCCCAGCTACTGGGAAAGCAAAAGCATGAGGATTGCCTGAACCCAAAAGTTTGAAGGTGCTATGAGCTGTGATGACACCACAGCACTCTAGCTAGAGACTGTCTCAAAAAAAAAAAAAAAAAAGTTAATGTTTCATACTACATCTTTTACCACTACCAGCAAGATTTTGTCCAACTGTGTTTTGGGCAGTTATTATTGAAATTGCACATGTTCTTCTACTTGACAAGTGTACTGAGGAGTTGGCCTGACCTTACCCCTTACAACATAGCCATCTCCATAAGAGTAAGAAAGCAGTCAATTTAGACAGATTTTTAAATCTCAAGTTTGAAAATACAAATGTAGGCTCAGTGCCCATAGCTTAGCAAGTAGGGCGCCAGCCACAAATATCAAAACTGGTGGGTTGGAGCCCAACCAGGGCCTGCTAAACAATGACAACTGCAACCCAAAAATAGCCAGGCATTGTGGTGGGCGCCTGTAGTCCCAGCTACTCAGGAGGCTGAGGCAAGAGAATTGCTTAAGCCCAAGAGCTTGATGTTGCTGTGAGCTGTGACTCCACAGCACTCTACTGAGGGAGACATAGTGAGACTCTGTCTAAAGAAAAAAGAAAATACAAACATAGTACATTTATCTTCCATTTCAATAAAACAGGTTTTTCATGAAATCCATCTATAGTTAGAAAATGAACCCACAGAAGCCAGCATGTTTCCAAGTGAAAAGTTATTTATGTATGTATCCTTTTTTTTTGAGGCAGAGTCTTACTATGTCGTCCTAGGTAGAGTGCTGTCGCTTCACAGCTCACAGCAACCTCAAACTCTTGGGCTTAAGCAATTTTCTTGCCTCAGGCTCCCGAGTAGCTGGGACTACAGGTGCCTGCCACAACGCCTGGCTACTTTTTTGTTGCAGTTGTCATTGTTGTTTTAGCTGGCTCGGGCTGGGTTCGAACCCACCAGTCAAGATATATGTGGCTATCACCCTACCTACTGAGCCACAGGTGCCGCCTATGTATGTATCCTTTTAATTTATGCTCTCAGGCACAGGGGAACACTAAAAGTGCCTTCTATGTCACTTTTTTAATCCATGATACAGATATAATTGGTTCTACTTCCAGGAACCAGTAAAATACTTACTTGCTTTTAAGATTATGAATATAACAATGTAACAAAGAGAAAAAAATAAACTCTAACTTTAATCCTTTAAAAAGTCAGGTTCCCCAAACGGAAATCTGATAAAATTATTACAAAATTATTACAATCTTAAAATACTGTGAAATACTACTACTTCAAAATAGTATTATATTAGCCAAAACTTAAGAACAGAAGGAGATACTGCTATCTGGACTAGGAGTCCTCAAACTTTTTAAACAGGGGGCCAGTTCACTGTCCCTCAGATGTTGGAGGGCCAGACTGCGGGCCCCGGGATGAGTCGGTTGCTAAGCAGGACAGGCAGCAGCGGCAAAAACACCTAGCAGGCCAGATAAATGTCCTCGGCGGGCCGCATGTGGCCAGCAGGCCATAGTTTGAGGACGCCTGAATTCTGCACAATGGATTAACCTTATCTGAAAATGTCTATTATTTCAAAAATTTGTCTATCTTAACAGACACTCCTCACTGTTTTTTCTCCTGTACTTTTCTAAGAATTGAAGAAACTGAGGAACTAGGCTATGGCCTTCTAGGGCAGATGTGTCAGCTTTGTTCTGAGGGGTATTATAAACATGATTAACCATATTACCACTCTACAGTGCAAAAGAGGGAGGTCACTAAAAATGCTAGTAGAAAGAAGCACATGGATGCTTAAAAAGAAAGTGAAGAGGGTTTTGCCCTATGTAGGACAAACTCAGTTACACAACTTGCATAAAAGAGCTGTGCCTATGCATTATCTTTACAGGCACAGGCAGCAAAGAAACACAATGGAGGAAATAAAGAAAAACCTGTGGGTCTGGTCAAAGAACCAGTACCACTGCCCTGCTACTGTAATGTGAGTTCAGAAGAAGGTAGGAAGTTTGCTGGAGAGCTTAAACCTAGGCACTATGGACAGTGCCCATACCTCAGTGGGTAGGGCGCCAGCCACATGCACCAAGGCTAGTGGGTTCAAACCCGGCGCAGGCCAGCTAAAACAACAATGACAACTGCAACAACAACAACAAAACAGACAGGCATTGTGACAGGTACCTATACTCCCAGCTACATGGGAGGCCAAGGCAAGAGAATCGCTTAAGCCCAAGAGTTTGAGGTTGCTGTGAATTGTGATGCCACAGCACTCTACCAAGAACATAGTGAGACCCTGTCTCACAAAAACAAACAAACAAAAAATCCCTAGGCACTATGAGCATGCTGTTCTTGAAACTTGTGTCCCAAGCCTCATTTATATTATAGGATCAAGATTCTTTTTTTTTCTTTTGAGACTGAGTCTCACTTTGTTGCCCTTGGTAGAGTGCCATGGCGTCATGGCTCATAGCAACCTCAAACTCTTGGGCTCAAGCCATTCTCTTGCCTCAGCCTCCTGAGTAGCTGGGACTACAGGCACCCACCACAATGCCCAGCTATTTTTAGAGATTGTCTCACTCTGGCTCAGGCTGGTCTCCAACCTGTGAACTCAGGCAATCCATCCGCCTCAGCCTCCAAAGTACTACAATTACAGGCGTGAGCCACCATACCCACCTCAAGATTCTTTTCAAATCTGCACAAGGCAACAAGTCCATGAACCACAACAACTGCAGGCATTTACTATGATATATCTGATACTATGATTTCAGAGATGCACCAAGGAGGCCTATTTACCAGATTTTCAAGGAGATAAAGTTGAACGAGAACAAAACATTTTCAGCATAGAGGAGGAAAATCTGCCAATTTTAAAGATCTGACGTATCAACT